GATGGCGGGGGCTGTGGTCCTGTGATGGGGGGGCTCTGTGGTCCTGTGATGGGGGGCGCTGTGGTCCTGTGATGGGGGGCGCTGTGGTCCTGTGATGATGGGAGCTTTGGTCCCGTGATAATCGGGGCTGTGGTCCAGTCAGGAGGAATATGGCTTCGGGGCTTTCTGGTATCCCCATTCTACAGATGGAGAGACTGAGGCTGTAGGGGGTCAGCCAGGAGCCCAGGTCCCTCTGCAGATGAAGGGCTGGGGCCAGCCAGGGCTGGCGCTGCAGGTCCCGAGCTGTCTGCTGATTTCCAGTCTTCTGCCAGGGACGTCCCCACCTTCCTGGCCCCTGAGACCATGGCAGGTGAAGACCTCAGTGCAGAGGCTGTGTCTGGCACTGTGGGGCCCTTTTCCCGGCCAAGCTTCTCTGGAGCTACTCCCTGCCCCTCTCTGTGCCCCGAGCAGTTTGCTCTGGAGTCTTGAGGTGCTCTCCCTCTGTCTTGGGGGTTCCGAAAATCTCAGGGAAGGGACAGCGTGTGAGAAACGAAGGAACCAGGGAGTGTGAGGGCCCTCTTGTGCCTCTGGCCCCACTTCTGTGACTAATGAGCCCTCGAACCCCCTGTTAAGAGGCAGGTTCCAACTCGGGGGGTCTGGGCAGGGCCTGTGTATCTGCATTTCTGGCCAGCTCCTAGTGTGAACAGCCTGACTGGGGCGGCCTCAGCGCAAGACCCTTACTTGGGGCCTCAAGGCCTCTGGCTCCCCGCTGTGGCTTCCCCTCCCCTCCTCCTCCTAGTATCTTGTTCGTTGTTCAGGTGAAAGCTGGGTTGGAGCTGGCCCACCCTAGTCAGTGGCTGGGCCTGGCACTGAGCTGGCTACTGCCTCTGCCCACCCCTTGCTGAGCAACGCTAGAAAGCAGGGCCGGGGGATCCTAAGTCCAGCCTTCTGAGGGCTGACCAGCCTATTGGGGGGCCTGCGGATTCTGCCTCCAGGCCTGGGTCTTCCTCTGGGCACCTGTGGGAGACAGGGCAGCTGCACACCTAGCCCAGGGCATGGCCTCCCCACCCAGCTGCCTCCCTGGCAGAGGCAGGGTTGCCTTGGCAACAGCACCTGAGGAGGAGGAGGCTCTTGCCCTGGGTGTGCTGCTTTCCCTGTCTTCAGTCAGGGAAGAGGCTGGCTTCCTCTGTTGGAGGGTGGTGGAGGGCAGTGGAGGGTGGCACAGGGTGGCGGAGGGTGGCACAGGGTGGCGGAGGGTGGCGGAGGGTGGCACAGGGTGGCAGAGGGTGGTACAGGGTGGCAGAGGGTGGCAGTGGCTCTCCTCCTTTGCCTTGGAGCCTGGTTTACTCTGGGCATCCCTGAGCCACCACATTGGTGGGATGGGCTGGAATGGAGGGTCTGAGGGTGGCTTCAGGGCCGGCGATGATGGCCAGGGAGTGGGAGTGGCTGTGCCACTTTGGGAGAGCTTCAGGAGTGGAGGGGCTCTGTGTCCGGGAAGGAAGTGCTGTGTGACTGTGCCAGTGTCCCTGGGCTGCTAAAGCAAGCACCCCCGCCTAGGGGTGTCAGCTGCAGGCATGATTCCCTCACAGTCTGGAGGTCCGAGGTCCGAGACTGGGGGTTGGTGGGGCCGGTGCCTTCCAAGGACCCGGAGCAGGGACCAGGTCCAGGCTGTGTTCCTCAGCTTGTAGCCGGGGGTCTCTCGCATCCTCCCTCGGGGCATGTCTGTGTCCAGGTCTCTCCTTTCAGGATAACATGACAGCATCCTGACCACCCCAGTCCCCAGCGCCACCTCACCACGTAGAGAACCCTTCGGGCCAGCTGCCGTGTTTCCTGGTTCTGAGCATGGAAGCGCGCTTAGGGGATGTGGCCCCAGGGCCCTCCTAGGGGGATTCCCCGCCCGCTCCTCTGTCTCAGTGGGCCTTTCTTCTGCCCTGGCACAGAAGATTGCAGCTAAGGCAGGAACAGACCATGGTCTGCGAGCCCCACGTGTAGGGTGGCCCTGCCGGGGGCAGTGGAGCAGCCACCTGGAGTGTCCTTTCAGTTTTCTGTACTTGAATGTAGCGCGTTTTATTGTAAAACACAAAAACAGTGTGAAATGCAACAGTCGTCTCATGTTTATACGGACGTCCATCATACTGGATAGGAGCCCGCCCTAATGGCCTCACCTTAGCTGGGTCACCTCTGTAAGACCCTGTCCCTGAACAAGGTCCCAGTTGTGGGCGCCAGGGGCAGACGCCAACTGTCTGTTTTAGGGGACACGGTTCAGCCTGTCGTGTGCACAGCTCCCTGGCAGAGCTGAAAGTTCTTTCTGCAGTGAGAAGAAAACCCATTTTAAAATAAGGACGGTCCACCATGCCTTTTGGCTGCAGCTGCCTGCTGGCCTGATTTGCCACATGGGGACCATGCGCCCCTGGGTTGGAGATGCTGACCCCACCCCTTCCCCCCAGTGTGATACTGGGCGTCTCCTTTCCTTTCCACGGCCTCATTCCTTTTGTCTGTGAAATGGGCAGTGTGGGGATTTGACCTTCCCCCCGTGCTCCCCCGGTCCGGCTTCCGACCCTCTCAGTGGTCTCTGTCAGTCTGTAAATGTGACCAGCTCCTCCATCTCCAGCCTGGCCTCTGCTCTCCCATGCAGCCAGCGTCCCCTGCAGTGGGTATGGGCAGGGAGACAGGTAGATGGGCAGAGCGTGGAATGGGAGGGGGAGTCTGAGTCTGGAGGACCTTCTGAGACCCCCGAGAAGCCTCCAGAGCGTCCCCGGGTAGAGCCTGTTTCTCCTCAATGAGGTCACTCCCCTTTAAAAATGTAAGGCTGGATGCAGTGGCTCACACTACCCAGCACTTTGGGAGGCTGAAGTGGGAGGGTTCATTGAGACCAGCCTGGGCAACATAGTGAGATCCCCTCTGTACAAAAAAATGCAAATATTAGCCTGGCACAGTGGCACGTGCCTGTGGACCCTTTGTCCATTACATAAAAGGCCTCTCTGGGAGACGCCGGGGCACTGACCACACCAAGGCTGGCCGGCCTCTGCCCCAAAAACTGGGGGCTCAGTGCAAGAAAACTCAAGGCAAGACTTTGTAAAAGACGTAGACGTGGGTGTGGTGCCCTCACCTGTCCAGTGTGGTCTGGACTCTCAACGCCACTTCCCCAGGGCCCCAGGCAAGTAGCTCAAGTCTGGCCTTGAGTTTTCTCATGTGCAAAATGGGGGTCTTACATTCCTCATTGTCGGAAACAGATGCTCGGTGCCGCGAAGAAAAATCAGCTCTGAGACAAAGGATCTCTCAGTAAGCAGTTTTTGCTTCCTGGACTGCAGGAAGGGCACCCTTGCTAGCCAGCATGCTATGAAAGGCCAAGGAACAAAGGCACAGACACATTTCTCCCTTGTACATTTGAGCTTGTCCTAACTGATGTGTCTGATCTTTGTTGGCTGGAGCCAGAACTCACAGTCAAACTAAAACCCAATCGGCTGACGACTGAAAACTTATTTAAACGGGTAAGGGGCATAGGCTGGGAGCTGGGACATGCCTGTGAGCACGCCCAGCACAGATCTCTTGGTTAACGTACAAGGACGTAGAATGTCCTATGTGCTTATAAGCATGGCATGTTCAACGGCTACATAAGGTAGGGCTTAACAAAGCACACTTACAATTTATTCTTTAACAAGAAAGGAAACTTGAAAGAGGAACTTCCCACACGCATGGAGCTGGGGGTGCGTCACATTGCAAATGGATGCAGAGGGCCAGAGCACAGCCAGGCTGTCCACCAGGGCTCTGCGGAGGGGCTGTGGGCGTGTCTCCTGCAGCCATGTGACACTCAGTACCCACCCAAGGAGGAGCAGTAAACGTTGTGGTTCCCACTAAAGCTAAAAGCTGAGTTGTCTGCTGTCAGCCTCATCATTGAGGACCGACTGGATGAGGGCTTTTCTGGGACGCAGATGCTGAGTTCTCATCCCCGACATCCCGTGTATTGATAATTATTGAGACATGTTAGTTTGGGGCTGCAGGCATTAATAATGCACTGAAAGGGTGAGTGCACCAGCCAGCCGCCTGGGAGGGCAGGCATTTGCACAGAGGGGAATCGGGCTGCATTTGCTTCTTCCTGAACTCTGGCTGTCCTCTGCCAGCTTCTCTCCAAGGGAAGTGCCGTGATGGGCTCCGCCCTGAGGATTCGGGGTCCCCCGAGGCCCCTGCTCACAGCAGGAGACCCACAGAGAGTGTCTGCACTGGGGCAGGCCGGGCTTCGGGAGATTGCAGCAGCAGCCCGCCTCAATTCGGGGCGCTCAGAGGCTTGAGGGAGAGGTGTCCTCACGGAGAGGGGACTGAGCCAGGCGGAAAGGACAGAGACTGCCTGAAAAGAGAGGGTTTCTCAGGAGCAGAAAGGGCCAGAGTCATTCATGCCAGCCAGTTCCATGAGCCCAGCCTTTCATGAGCACTGAGGACCCCACAGGCCAGAGCCCCTGTACTGAGACGACCCCTGAGGTTCTGTGTAGCTGCAGAGCACCGCCTTCAATAGCAGAGGAGGGCACGGCAGTGGAAGTGCCACAGACACGCATCCCTGTGAGAGCTCTGTGCCTTCACCTGTGCCCCCCAGCAGTGCCAGCCATATACAGGACCTTCCTCCAGCTGCACACCGTGGGGCCACAGCGTTGACTCAGGCCGCCCCCGCTCCACTGCCCCCGCAAAGCTTCCGAGAGCCGCCCTGGCAGACCATAGGTGCCCGTGGCCCCTCAAAGTTCTTGCCAGGGTGTTAAAGCCTGGTCTTAGGAGAGTGAGTTCCTGTTGATCCCCTCCCGCTTTCTCGTCCCTGGATCTGGCAGCCTAGGGATGGATCCCGAGCTCCTTCCTGGACCCTGTTGGCCAAATCCTGCTGGGATTTGAGCCAGCCCAGCGCCTCCCTGGAGAGTGTGGGGACCTGCCCTTGTGGTTGGTTTGGTCCCACAAGGGGAGCCAGGGAGATCCTGGGAGGCAAGTCTCATGTTAGAGGTCACTGTGGGGGTCTTCCAGCAGGAAGGGCTGCTTGGTCTCTGCAGGCCCTGGAGGGAAGGTCAGGCCCTCAGCTCTGTCTGCCCGGGTTCCTTTACCCTGCATCTCCAGTCCTGTTCTTTCTGGCTCTGGCCTTGCCACGGGATGCTGCCCTGCTGAGAGTCCAGCCTTCTGGGTCTTGGCCTCCCTCCAACCCTGGCTGTAGGAGGTTGGGGTTTCCTGAAACGGTGCCTGGAAGCCCCCTGGCTTTTACATTTCACCTTGAACCACCCTAGACTGTTGTCTCTCAGATGAGGCAGTGGTCTCCACAGAGTCTCCCACGGCCACGGTCCTCCCGGTTAGGTGGCCCTTTGGACCCTTCAGCACTCAGCAGAGCACCCTCCCCTAGGCTCACAGTCTCCTCATGGATGGCCACCAGGGGCTGTCTGTATCCCACTCACCCCTGCTGGGGTCCTCCTGACCTGCCGGAGCCTGCTCCCCAGATCCACGCTTCCCTGCTGCATGGCTGCCTGCCAGAGATGAACCTGGAAGAGGGGAGGATGGCAGGGCTGGGTGGGGAGAGGCTGCTGTGGGTCTTCACATGGAACTGAGTTAAGGAGCTCGGGATGAGGCCATCCTGGATTATCTGGGTGTTCTGACAAGGGGAGAGGCGAGACCCAGACACAAGGGAGGAGGTGGCATGGCGACAGAGGCAGAGGCGGGTGTGAGGTGGCCACAAGCCACGTCAAGAGCCCCTAGAAGCTGGGAGAGGCAGGAAGGAGCCTCTGTGGCTCTGGCTGGCTGGCACCTGCTGCCCAGGCAAGAGGGGCCTGATGCTGCACCGGGCTGCGTCTGCGTCTCACCAGGCCCCAGGAGAAATGTTGCCCGTGACCACCTGTATGTCATCAGGGTGAGAAAGAATCCCTCAGCGACACAGGCTTTCTGAGATGCATCTGGGATCCCTGAGATGGAGGGTGGCACTCGGGCCCAGAACCTGCCTGGGACCCACCTGGCTGCATCTGATCAGGAAGGGCCCATGGAGATGTCAGGCGCTCCAGTGACCTGGGATGGGTATTTAGTCTGTTCTTGGCCCTGGCCAGCCAGCGTCTATTGCTTGGTAAGAAGAGGGAGCCCAGTTGTCAGGGGAAATCCTGCCCCCAGCCCCGGGGTTGGCTTGGAGGCTCAGGTCAGTTCTACTTGGAAGGGAAGGTCCAGGCTGCGTCAAGCTGACCCCTGGGAACCCAAAGATGGGGACGTGGGCAGGGCCAGAGCCACCATCCTGTAGCTGTGAGACCCCTGTGGGGCTCGGATCCACCTGTGCGGCCGAGGTGGAGTCTTCATGCCTTTGTTTCCTCATTTGCCCATGAGGAGTGATGCTCACTGCTGCGCCTGACTTAGGGTTGTCACATGTGTGGAATGGGCCCTCTGGAAAGCTAAGGGCCATCACCCAGTGCCAGCTATCACATGAGATGTGTGAAAGACCCCTGACCCCAGGGAGGAGGCTTTCCGGCTGGAGGGGAGTGGGTGAGGGCCAGTGAGAGGTGAGCAGTCACTCCAGGCTTCATCAGGAGCTGCCTCCTGACCTCTTGGCTCCCCTGCCAGCTCAGCTTAGGTGCCCCCTCTTCCAGGAAACTCTCATGACTTTGCAGTAGTGCTCACCCAGATGCCTTGCTCACCTGCTCCTCCAGCTCTCCCCAGCGTGGGGGTGGTTCTCCAGGACAGGGGTGCCTCCTGGCCCCCTTGTCCACCCAGCACAGTCCTCTTCCCTTGAAAATGTCCTAGTCAGCTCTTGGCTCCCTGCAGCCCCCACTGCACCCCATCTTCTCATCATGCTTCTGTGCTCACCGGGGCCCCTGGGGCAGCAATCAGCACAGTCCTTACCAGTGTCAGATAAAGGCAGGGTGAACGGGAGGGGTCCGAGGAGAAGCCCCAGGCTCGCTCTGGCCCCTAGGTCATCAGCACAGGTGGCAGCTGGGAGCACAGGGGCTGTGAAGACCTGACATGGAGGGTCTGGGACTCGGTCTTCTGGTGGACCTGAGCCAGGGAGCTGCCCCTCAGTGAGGGGAACAAGGAGCCATCAGTGGTGGGGAAAACCACATTCTGACAGGCTGGGCCATGGGGAGCAGGGACCCCACTGTGGGGTTGTGGGCTGTGGGTTCTTGTGGCCCCTCTTCCAGCAGGCAGGGAGAGCTGGGGTGCAGTGGGTGCGGTGCTGGCAAGGCAGGAACCCTCAGCTCAGGGGTTGAGGAGGAGGAGGGCTATGTGCCGTGAGCTTGTGGCTGGGCCGGTTCCCCTGGGGTGTGGACCAGAGGACCTGGCAGGGTGACAGCAGCGTTGTGAAGTGGGCTAGCAGAGTGGCCGTGCAGCAGGTGTGAAGGGGGGTCGAGGTATGGGTTGAGAACTCTGGAGTTTGCCCCTTCGGTGGTCCTCCGAGCGAGGTCCCTGCACCAGTGGAGGCCTCCACCTCACCTGGAAGATTAAAATGCGGATTCCCAGGCCCCACGCTGACCTGGGGAATCAGACACTCCAGGGGTGGGTCAGGCTGTCTGGGTTTTATCTCATCCTACAAACACCCTATTTCCAAATAAAGTCATATTCTCATTTTGGGAGACACCATTTAATCCACTGCAGGTGCTGAGGGTGGAATTGGGGAGTCACCGCAGGCCCCACCCGCCCCTCCCTCATGTATAGCTGTGGCCTCGTCTTCCATCGGCTATGGCCCTGTCCCCTGTACCGTCCACAGCAGAGGCGGCCTGGTAAATCCTGCAGTCTGCTCCCAGGTGGGAGGAGCCCCGGCATCTGGCCTGGCCAGCCCACGGTCCGCAGCGGCCCAGGAACCAGGCCTCTTCTCACTGCTTGCGTCTGGGTCACGGAGCGGGTCATGGGAGCCTCACGCATAGGGTCAGGCATGGCCAGAACCGTCACCATGTTCCCGGGGCAAGTTGCAAGAAAGGCGGGGTCATGAGATGACCAGGTGGAGGTGCTACAGAGCCACGGTGCAGGTGTGGGGGCCCTGTGTGAGCTCTGACGCCCTCCCCACCTGTGTCACCACGGCTTGACCCTCCCCAGGTGGGAGCCACAGGTGTCAGGGGCGCCAGGCCGAGGCTTGGTGTCTCATTTATAGTGAACCTCTACAGCGCGTTTGGGAGCTTCCTTCTCTGTGAGATGCGCTTGTCTGGGTTTGTTATATTTTAGTGTTGGCACTGCGTCTTTTTATATACGTGTGAACGTATATATGTAAATACACGTATGATGTTGGTGAGTTAATGTTGGTGGTAGTTTTACTAAGCAAAGATGTGGGAACCAAATAGCAGCCCCTCTGGTGAGTTTCCCATTGGCTCCCGTGTGCTGTGTGCACGGGGGGCTCTGTGGTCCAGGTCTGAATGGCCTGGGAGGTGCAAGACCCCATCCTCTCCAGGAGCTTACTGGAATGGAGGAGACGTTCACAAAGTACCAGCCATCGCACGAGTCATGGTCATTCTGGAAGGTGTCCTGGGACAGGTGTTTTCCCACTTGCCTTGGCTTCCGGGGAGCTCGGAGCCTGCTTTCCTTCCAGTTGTGGGCAATTTTTGGGCGGGAGCTGCTGCACGGCTGACCTCAGCTTCTGAGTCCAGGCCCAGCCGTGTTCAGACCACGCGTTTTTAGTTTCGGGACATCGCAAATCCTCCTGGAATCTGATGAAAGCCATGGATCCTCTACTTGTGGGGGGGATCATGCAGAAAACTTTGGGTACAGTTTCAGGGGATGCACACACCACCCCAAGGCCTGGGATGCGAGCCCCCGCAAGATGGGAGGGTGCACTCTCTGGCTCTGGGAACCCTGGTGTGGGGCATTCTCAGCAGCTGGCCTCATTTCCTGGACACATGTTCTTGGCTGTGGTTTTTATTACTCTTTGTATGTAAATATCATAGATGTATTTTCTTCTAGTAAAATTGTTCCTGGCTAGCACAGTGGAATTTTGAGAGGAGGAAGCCGTCTCAGCAGTGTGTGCTTCCCAGGGTTAGCCCATGCGCTTGGAATGATGGGTGTGGCAGAGATGGGAGGCTAACGCTTCGTGGGAGGTGCCTGCGCCCTGCCGGGTGTGTGTGTTAATCCTCACCTCCAGGGCGATGGTGCTGGGGGGCGGGGCCTTTGGGAGGTGATGAGGCTGAGGATAGAGCCTCGTAGCAAGGATTATGCCCTGATAAAAGAGGCCCCCGAGAGTGCCCTCACCCCTCTTACCGTCTGATGACACAGCAGGAATTGCTGTCCAGGACTCAGAAAGTGGGTCTTCTGCAGACAGAATAGGGAGAAAAAGTAATGTCTACTGTTGATGAGCCGCCAGAGCTGTGGTGCTTTGCTGCAGGCTGAACTGAGTTAAGTCGGGAACTGCAAGCAGGAGGCCTCCTAGGGAGTCTGCTCGGAGGGGGGAGTGGCATTGTGCCTGTTTGCCATGGCCACCAGCAGGCCCTCCTGGAGCCAGAACACCTGGTAGGCAGAAATAGAATGCACAGAACCCCATGTTCTGCCTTTGGGGCGTCGATCTAGGCCCTTGCTTTACAAAGGGCAGGGAGACACCAGAGGGGCAGCGTGCCCAGTCACTGACAGGAATATTGGTGCCTCTGTGGCATACATGGGTGTCGGCGTCATCCTTCAGCTGGGTGAGGGAAGTGCCCACCTGGCCAAGTCCCAGGGTTCCAAGTCAGAGTTGCTGCGATTAGGGTCCCACAGCCGGCACTGGGGCAACAGCAGGAAGCGCAGGGGCCTGTCACCATGTCCACCCTGCGGGGTGGGGTCGTCCAGGCTTGGACTCTTTCTGTGCATGTGCCAGTGTTTGTTGATAATGAAATCAGAAATGTTTTCTTTTTGAGACAGTCTCACTCTATTACCCAGGCTGGAGTGCAGTGACATGTTCTCTGCGCACTGTAGCCTCCATTGCCCAGGTTCAATCAATCTTCCTGCCTCGGTCTCCCAAGTAGCTGGGACTACAGATGCAAGCACAGCTCATTTCATAATTTTGGTAGAGACAGGGTTTTGCCATGTTGCCCAGGCTGGTCGTGAACCCCTGAGCTTAAGGGATTGTCCCGCCTTGGCCCCTCAAAGTGCTGGGATTATAGGCATGAGCCACCACCCTCTGCCCAGAGATGTTTTCAAGCATGTCCCAGTGAGTTTAAAGAATGAATGAACAAAGTCTGAGCCAAGCCTGTTGGGGGAGGGGGGTTGGCCTAGGACCTCCACCCACACACCCCGTCACCTGTGCTTCCGGTCCCCCTCACAATCCTCCCTATCTCCCCCAGGACCTCCCACTCTCGGGCAAAGGCTGAGGCAGCCCTCACAGCAGCTCAGAAAGCCCAGGAGGAGGCGCGGATCGCCAGGATCACTGCCAAAGAGTTCTCCCCTTCCTTCCAGCACCGGGAAAACGGTGAGTCCTACTCAGCATGACACTGGCATTGTGGGGAGCGGGGGGCATGTGGATGGCCCGGCAGCCCCAGCAGCAGATGCATCCTCCAGGGTGGGCAGGCTCAGATGGGCTTGGCCGAGCTGCTCCCTGCCCGGTGTCCACCTCTCCGCTAGAAGGTGTCTGTGCCAGGGCCTGGCACCCCAGGATGCAGGACGTGGGTCCTGGCAGGTTTCTGCTGTTCCTGCAGCTGCATCCTTGTGGCACCACGTGTTGCTTGCTAGCTGCCAAGAGTGAATGCCAGCGTGCCTGGCCTGTGCTGTCTGCCTGCCCTCCCCCCATGTTGTTGTAGAAACTTCGGTGATGAGATTATCCTGTCTGTTGGGTCCAGCATGGCAGGTGT